AAATTAAGAGATTTCTCTTATCGGAACACTTAAATCGGATATCATTTAATAATCACACTCAAATAATCACTTATATATTTATGTAAGTTTTATTAATACATAGTGTTAGTTATCTAAATGACAAAGTAAACAATTATTTAATGATGTTCTCGTGTCATTATTAATAGATATTTAAGTACTTTTGGGTCATGTTCTAATTAAAAAAAATACTTTGAAACTTGACACGACGTTCTAAATAACCCATATATGTTATTTTATTAAATAACTACAAAGCTATTCACTTCAGTGAAATGATAATGGTTTACCAGGAATTGTTTGCAACTTTTAAGTCGCGAACTTGGTGATTCAACATATGCCAATTTGAAGTTGATTTGGTATGACCAATATGAATGAGTCATTTGATCATTCTACTTAAATATGCAGCATTATATTCGTTGGATAATTAGTAGCTTTAGCTCGGCAAGATATTAATATAAAGTAAATCAATCGTTAATATTACTGGTATTCAATGTAAGTGGTAAACGTAGTGGCCGGAAACGTGGCAATTTAGCTGTCATTGAGATAACCCCATTTCCTGAGTGTTCCAATGTTAGGGATACGTATTATCGGTCAATTATGTACTTTTGTATGTGACAAACATATTTAATTCTTATTTTAAATCATGTTTGATAATAGCAATAAATAACGCAACGTATATACAAATATGTACATTCATTTTATTATGCAACTACACTATTGTAAATCTATGCACACATATTTTAAAAGTGTTCACATTTTTTCATATTGGCAGTTACCCTTTTCATGATTGTTCTGGGTTATTTCTTTATAAATTCAATGTCTGGTTGCTCATAATACAAATGAAATATCTTAATTTCTAGATTATTTATGTGACATTTATTATTACTATAGCTTTTGTCCTTCTTATTTCTCGACATTAATGTTCTTTCGGCATTGGTTTTGAAAGCATACTTTTACAATATTTTACCTTAGATACAATTAGCCATTAATCGAGTTACTTAATAATTTTTATAGGCCCCTCTATGTCGACATAATTGTTCTTTGATAACAAAATATATTAAATTACACGTAAGATACATAATAATACCAATAAATCAAAACATCTGCCTTAGATACAACTCTCTGCACTGTGTAAGGTGATGTATATACGTATGTTACGGATAACATATGCAAATCAATAACACAGTTGTTTTAGATATAGATATATATCCACTACGTCCAAAGTAATTACATCTAATGAACCGTAAAATATAGACAATAGGCTATACTTTACACATTAAATGCACTGATGCACACAGGATTTCCCAACAGAATATCTTTGTACGGTAACGAACTCGTTGATGTTGCATTTACCCTGTTGTTAATGACATAAGGTTGCTTTATTCAGGTGATAATAGTTCGTGTACTTTTCCATTAAGGTAAAAGTAACAATTTTAAAATTTATAGATTTTTATTTCCCGAAGTCTAGACATTCTCTAAAAACTTGATCATAAGTGACAATACATTTAACAAAAAAAAATTACTTTAGTATGTTTTTATAATAAAGATTCAAATAATCAATATATTATTCTGTTCTTCAAACCAAGAAACACTATTCCACAGTATTTTTATTGCGAGTTGTACATGATTTATAGACATGAATCATGTCATGAATATTATAGAACCTCTCATGTATTACTACTGTTAACAACTAAAATGTAGTAGTAGTCGCATGTGTTAAAGATAATCTAGATATTTTAAACTTTCTGACCAAAATCATAAATACAAAATCCCGAACATTTTTGCTTTATTGTTGAAATACTATTAATATAATAAATGCGGAAGTTTGAAGCGGATGGATGGATGTTTATTACTCTTTCACGCAAAAAATAATGAATTAAATAAAATTTGGTACATAGGTAGATTATATCCTATATTAGCACACAGGATACCTTATGTACTCATTCACGTGGGTAAAATCGCGATATACAGCTAGTAAACAATACGTTAGTCCATACTTTGATGACTAACAAAGAATTGTCATCTGTGAAATTAAGAATCACACAATAAACATCTGAATGCGCAATGAACGCAACTAAATCTTTGCCCATATAGGAAAGCTTACATCGTATGTATGTACATCTCATAGCGTGCTGCCTTAAAAGTCATCACATTATTTCGTTCGTCAACAACTGTGATTTGAATAAACGTGGAATATGAGTACAAATAAACCTCGAGTATATAAAGTACCTTTTTACTTAAAATCTATTTATTAACGATTCAATATACTTGTCAGATTATTAACAAAAGAAACATTATTTTTAATAAATAACTACCTAAATCATTTCAATTATACTTTCTTAAAAATTTAATACCTAAAGGAAAGAAAAAGAGTGATCAATGATGAATCATAAATGTTGATGTGATGAGTGTGCAAGATCTAACGCTGCATCGAGTAAGTATAATAATACCTTTCACAAACTATACTGTTTTATTGATAGTCGTTAATCATACTCGTATCTAAAAAATATCAAACTTGACTTTATATGAACCAAATTAACTACATGTTATTCATTATAAGTTTATATGTGCACCTTTACGGAACAAAAATAGTAATAAAGAAATAAACATTTGATTCCAATTTTACATAACTATAAAAAAGACTTCTGGTAAACATTATGCTCAATCAAGTTGTAGTAAAATATGATGAACAGGAAACAAATAAGTATACGAACATTCACTAAATGGCGATGAAAGAAAATAAAGAACGAAAAAGAAAGGTGAATTTAAATCACCTGCTTAGTATGTAAAGAGGCACCTGCCGACAGATGGTCGACAAAAACCAACGTCCCCTTCGCTTTGGGACTCGACCGTGAAAAAGTTTATTTATTTAAAATCCAAGTTACGGGAGGCATTGAAAAATAAATAATATTTCGACCGAGATTGAGAAATATCAAAACTAAGTTAGTACGTATTGGAATTGTATTGACTGATCGGTTGAATGTATCGAAGAATTACGTAAAGTTGAAAAAAAAAGATCTCGAGTAGAGTGGACTGGCATAGGTCCGGTTTGATGGTGCGCGCCGGCGACAGCAAGCCTGGAATGTGACCCAGACCAACGGCAACGATGGGACTCGAATGGTGACTCATGTGAACATAAGTTTACTTTTTTAAATAACAGTTGGATACCGCCGAACCCTTGTTTAGAAAGTTCACTAAATAATTCGGCGTGGGTGCATAGATAAACAGGATTACACGACACCTACAGCTCTTTTTTTATTTAGTCATACGACATCCCACATTATAATTCAATGTGAATGATCGACCTGCTGCAGTCAAAATTATTAAACATGATTGTATTACATATTGAAGGATTTTATAGAGAGATAGAAGACGTAAAGTAAAATAAAGTATTAGGTATTACTATCTACTGCCAGCTAAACTATCCAAACAAAAATTTTAATATTGAATTTGTTGTCTTATCTAAAACTTAAGTATTTACCTGTAATCTATTGATATCACTCAGTTGCAGATTTGAAAGTAACTGAAGCAACGGTATCAGAGATAAATTTTAGGTATGGTTATTCTTGAATATGTCTAATCAAGAGTTGAAAAGGCAACACGGTAACTAAAACAGTTTTATCTAAACTCTCAAGGATCTTTCAAAGAGAACCTGCGAACTCCATAAGAAGATTAACGCCCAAGCCTAGGAGCAATTCGGATTTATACCAACAACGAAAGAATAGGTACCTACTTATATTTACATTAGAAGTTCGTGTATCTTGTTTTATATCAGTAAAAGCATACCTAATTATGTAAAAATTATTCGTACCTATTTACCTACATACTAATCTTTTATGAATGTCATGTAATTGATTTACTTAGTCTGACAGCAAAAGTATAAAAAATATTAAGTGAATTCAAGAATATATTTACGTCTAGTTGTCAAATTATGAATTAAAAATCATATCACGTTTCTACTCATTTCATTTTCCCCGCTGTCAGCCCCATCTAATGCCCTTCTAATATTCGCGCGAGGCTTTTGTGTCTCTACATGTTCCTCAAATATGACTGACACAGTTAAATACTCCAGGGATAGGATGATCTCTGTAATTTACATTCTCTTGTAGCGACTTACATATTTACCGAGTTATATAAAACAGAACCCGTTTTATTTATTGAGGTAACCGGCGATGAGATGTAGGTGCTGTACTCGTACTGTATTGCGTAATTCAGTTTCCTTCAGATCTTTATATTTTGATCCTATCATCAGATTTTGTCTTAATATTATTTTAGACAACTGTGTTCACTAACAAATAAGTGCAAGTCAAGAACATAAATATATAAATTATATGATCTAACATTGTTTTTGTTTCTTTTTATTGCTTTTTTGCACCATTATATTTCTTATAACAAAGCAGATAAAATATTTTCGGTATTTTTTGTGCTAGAAGTTAGTAGGCACGTGCAAGGGACTCACTGTTAGTTTAGGGGTTGGTGGGTTCGTGTTTCAACTTTAACTCATGATGCTAATGAGTAAAAAATTGTGTACCGTTATAGATACGTTAATAGTTAACTTGTATTAGGATGTATTTTTATAGTAGTGCAGAAGTAAGTAGTTCATGTTACACGTTGATGTCATTGTTAATACCTTGCTATTTAATGCCATAATATTACTGACTGGTAGAAAACTTTAAATTATGTTACTTTCATATTATAAAGTAGAATTTGTTTTTTATCGTTCTCGAGGGAATTTCGGAAAATGTTTTCTTAGTAAATTCTAATAAATCACAAAAAGTAAGTAAATAATGACTATTATTATATGTTGATTAATCTGAATAATGCATCAAAATATATATGTTATTATAACAATAAATTTAATACATAAGTAAAATCTCCACAAAACACATATATAAAAAGTTATATAAACTTTTTATGTTCCAACATTCCATATAAATCCACAATAAATAATAGGAAATTAATCCTCATAATCTCATTCTCACAATATCCTACATAAAAAATCTTATCGGTATGCATGTCCACATATTATACAAGTAGTACCGTCTTTCATAGGTAAACAGTTATGCATCACTTTTCTAAACAAAAAATATAACTCCACGAAATAAAAATAATAATTCACACTAAAATGTTTATACACTTTTTATCACAATTTCTCACTTAGGCACCTTCAACTCGCGGCGTAAAGTGTAACTTGGTCAAACTATGGTACGACCAGCGAAGCGGGCGATCTCGCTCAAATAACTTTGTTGACAAGCGGCAAGCGTGTTCCGTCCGCCATGTTTAGGAACTTCGACAATCTCCGGCCGAAGTCGGTCGTCTTCGGAAATACAGCTCTACTGGTAGTGCTGGTCAACCAACTATGCATTTATTTAAAAGTTACGAGTATATCTATCGGATGGCGATGAAGATATCAATCTTAAAGTTTATCATCAGATAAACTTATTAAGATATGATTACAAGTATTCTACATAAAAGAAACAAAAAAACTTAACGAAAATATATTTTTCATTACACAAAATAGGAAATTGTATTTCGTTCAATGTAAAATTCAACCATTTCAAGTTTCTTTTTAGTATCTATGCTCCTTTTATTTTGAGAACTCAGAATCGTAACAAACCCGAAACAATATAAACTATAAAACATTTTTTTTTATATATAATACTATTCTGAACTAAAAATTTTTAATTAAAAACTTATAATTAAACGCTTATGTTTAACGAATAAAATTAACCATACAAGGGGAGGAAAATAGTGAAGTCTAACAACCCTAGTGCTAGCAATATACTTGCATGCATTTCCCACTAAAAACCATCGTGGTTAATTCTTGTATAATTCGACATGATAGGCTAACTGACCTGTTTGGAGGGAAAGGGGTTGTTAGTAATGGAGACTAAGAATCCCATTGCTAGCAATATACCCAACCAGGTCGACCTCCTCGCGGTTCCCCCTAGAAACTATCATGGTTAATTCCTGATAAATTCATCATGATGGACTAACTGGCCTGTTCTCATTCTCATTTATCACCCTTCACTGGTGCTCTGTCAGCGTATCCCGTTAACGCGGGAGGGGTTACCATTCCATTTTCACCCATAAAAAAAAACTGACCTGCTTTCATCCTCATTTATCTTCTCTCACAGATGACCTACCAGCGTATACCGATAACGCAGAGAGGTTACCATTCCATTTTCTCTAATTAATAGAAAACCATACAACAGATAGTTAACTATCGAAACTGATTAAAATATTATAATTTTAATTTTTATGCAATAATGCACATGTAGCTCGATTCAGATGATCTGTCATCTGAATCGAATAATAATACCTAAGAAATAAAAAAAAAAATACATATCTTCAAACAAAGATTTCAAAATAATATAACCAAAATTGAGAAAAATAACTCCGAAACAACGCTTATATTCATCACATTAAAACTATGAGTGATTTACCAAAACTTTAAAACTGTTTATCGTTTTTATATTACCCGTTTTAAATATTTACGAACATTGACTAGCATCATCATCATATAATCGTGTAGTACTGACTGTACATTATGGTAATAAGTCAGCAAGTAATTTATTTTTTAACATAATCCCAAGATTTTTTAATAATCGAGAATAAATCACAGTAAGTGCAAACGTGTATGTACTCGTACTTATACACTACGTCTCGAGAATACTCGAAAACTTCTAGAGTATTCTCTAATCCTCGTCGAGAAATCTAAAGAACCAAGGAGCCCAATTACGTAATATTGTAATTGTATGTTCCATACATAGAATTTTTTGTAAAGGTTTCATTAGATATAACATATCTGACATATAGGATTTTTTCTGAAACCACATTTATATAACTTATACCACTTTATACCTAATTTTAAAGTTTTGTATACAGAAGATTCATGTAAAAATAAATCAAACCAATTTTAATGAACAGACGTCAGACCTTATCATGGAGATTAATAAGTATGCGACACACTCTTACCCAGTTATTAATTATTATTACAGTAACTTTTTTTAATCCAACTATACCTTATTCTTTATTCACGTGACCGGGACACATGGATTAACCAGAGTAGAAGTTAATAACCTTCTACCTCGTGTTTTCTATCACCAACTATGAGAATTAGACGTGTCGGTGAGATGTTAAGAGAAAACTGACAAACGCGCTTTCACATTCATACTAGTTAGTACAGATTTTATTTGTCGAAACATTATGTAATTGTTATCAAATATATCTACTTAAACAGAAAAGAGTTCCTAGCAACAGCCTCATGATCGCATATTTTGTCTTATAGACGAAGTTTCGGATAAAAGCTAACTTAGTATAATTATAAGATAGTACGAAAATATTCAGGGAAAGTGGTATATTTTCTTCAAGTAAAATAACGATTATACTCTGCTCATTGAAGCATGACACGGGTGACAACTGATATTTTTATAGTTCTTATTGTAAAGTAACTGCATTGAAAGTGATTTTTAGACTTTATAATAATAATTAAAACAACCGTTTTGTTGAATGTTTAACGTTAAAAAGAATTTTTAAATAGTTTTAGTGATCTGTCACCCGCACCATGTATCACCGCATAGAGCATGATTAAAACTATCATATTAGTACAATATTAATTTCAATATCATATAAGAGATATAATATATTTTTAAGCCAACTGCAACGATTTTAAGACCATTCGGAATTCTATAATGTACACTGAAGGCGGTTCTGAATACTGGCATGCTTTTCTCTTTTTCTGCTTGCCGCAGGCGCAAGTACGTGAATAAATCACGATCCCAAGGCTCGGTATTATGCGAGAGGCGATCGGTCATGAACCCACTAAACTGGTTCTTCAGTATTGTTCGCTCAGCCAAGGGCCACGCGTAGTATTTTAATATGATTAATTATTGTTGTAATTGGATCATATACGTGTTGTAGAACTTGTACATATTTTGTTTGTAAGTATTTACCGTTCGAAGGTGAAGCGTTTAGCACTATTTAAAACATTAAAGAGATATCTTGTGATAATAGATAGATACTCATGTTTCCTCCAAAGATTACAGTAATAATAACATTTGTCATATTCGCGATAATGTCTGTCCGTTACACTAAGATTAAAGGCCACCTTATTTTACATACTCAAGCAAATACACTTGATAATAATATACTTTTTTATTCGCTCAAGAACTTAACGACATATGTATGAAATTACTACACTATATGTATATTATCAGCATTGATGAAGAAATTAAATAAGTAAATTAGTTTAGTGGGAATCGTGATTTAGTAATTATTTTTTCGTTTATTTTATCGTAATTAGTTATTTTAATTATTAAATTTATTGACGATAATTATAACAAGAATCTAGTAAAATTATCTTCCAATGATCATTTACAACAAACAAATACAAACATATACAGGATCAGTTGCATACTTCGGCTTCACCCGCTTGAATCAATATATAAAATATACTATATGTTAATCCTATCTGCAAACCAAATTTTATATAAATCTATATAAATAAAATTATTTTTATAATGCCAGGAAAGATACTTTGTGCAAAAGTCGTTTGCTTGGGTGCCTCTGTTCCATTAGTGTTTAAACCGTGAAGCAGTTGTTGCAGTTATGGCAGTGAATTTACAAAGTACAGAGGCATAACACCATGGGCGAAACAGTATACTACGTCCATGGTACTGTTCATGTCTATAGGCGACAGTTACCACTTTTCATCCGATAGACCGTCAGCTAGTTTGCCATTCTAAATTGCTTATAAAAAATTTATGCAACTTAGTGTGGCAAAGAAGTTGACTGAATGGCTGATGCCACCCCGGATTCACACATAATGCAATTTATACCAATTGTATATGTATAAATCCAGAACAGGTCGCTATTAGTTTGTCTAAGGTTACTTTTAGAAAAAGTAATGGTACTTTTTATTTTTTTTAAATCCATTTAAAATCCAGCGATAAGAGATATTTACCTAAGTACCTATTCAACAACTTATATTTACGAATAGAACAATCAAAATTATGTAAGATTAATTTGCTATGATGAAAATTTATATTTGATATGTCCAATACATATGATTCCGTGCGATAAACTATATTGTTCAATATATGCTATAACGAAAAAATTATTTGTCAGATATAGTGACAGAAAGTGACAGATATAACTGAAGCTACAGTGGCCCCGCCAATTTTAATTTTTCACGGCTCGCTTAGACGAAAACACTGTCTGTATACACTAAGTATTATAATTTATAAGAAAATAAATTATTAACAAAAATTTATTATCTGTATCGCCGGAATACTAGTGGCGTTTTGTTAATTTAAATAATATAAAAAAGTTAATGACGTTAATTTTTTTTTTTTGTTTTTAAACAAACACCCACCAATAAGCACCTTTAAATCATTGCTAATGATAATATTCAAATAATTTTGGGAAACTACACAATAATCAAAGAATTAATCATTGCTCTTACCGCCATCTAGTGGTGAGTAGCAAGACAATAGTTGCTTAAAATTAAAGTAGAGGGCGTTACCTGTTACTTCGTACAAAATTGTACAGGTGCAAGATTTTGTTTTGTTCAAAACTTACCTGAAACAATAAAAAAATAGAATATAAGAAATTAGATAATACAAAAAAAAAATATTATAACATCATGAATAAACACATTCAGAATGTCATATAGTCTTTGAATAAACTCCCAGAAAATATATATATTTACTTTTAAATATTGTTTATCATAGGACTTACAAATAATTTTTGGGGCTTTCACTATACCAATAAAACTAAGACGTACAACCTGATCGTTAGTAAAAAGTTTGTATGCCCATGTTTAAACAATGCAAAGCTGCCCCATATCTCTTCAGGATCCTTTAGGATGATCACAAGCCATAAGTATTAAAAATATTATTTAGGTATCTATGATTTCGTATTTAAAAAATGTCAACTGCCTGCCTATACAATTTAACAAGTGAACTATCATTTCCTGCGTCCGACACAGTTTTCACATACGAGTACGTTATCTATGCTACGCACTACCGCCATACCTATGTTGTAATTGTGTTGTAACATGTATTCATGTGCTCTTTTCAGAGCTAATTATTTTCAGTCAGTTACCTGAAGCAACTGTGTCACTTAGTGCTTTCATTATAAACTTTTATACTTCAGAGCTCTTTGAATATTATTTTTACCAACTACTAAATGTATTTTTCACATAATTCATTTTGGAAAGTATTTGAACAGATTATATCTGGGTATCAGTTTATACACCATTATACATTTTTTTTTAGTTAAC